GGGGGGGGGGGGGCGTGTGTGCAGATGACCACTGCCCCTGTTATCATTCATTCATTCATTCATTCATTCATTCATTCATTCATTCATTCATTCATTATGTCGCCTACACTACCCAAAGGTCTCTGGGCGGTTTACAACAATTAAAATACAGTAAAAAGATAAAACAATTAAATTACAATTAAAATATATGCTCTAAAAATTGCCATCAGGACCCACAGTTGATATTATTTCAGTTAAAAGCCTTCTTCTCATTATTATTATTATTAAAGTTATTAAAGAGTTAAGTCAACAACCACCCACAGTGGGCCCGGGGAACTGCTCCAGCTGTCACTGGTCCAAGAGACTGGACTGTACAAGAGACCTCCAGAGACTCCTTTGACTCTGGTTCTGAGGAGGTGAAGGGGGGCAGTGTAGTAGGATGATGAGGTTGCTAGACTCGGAAAGAGAGAGACAGGTTCTTGCCCCCAATGAGCTGTGGGACTCAGTGGGTCAGCTGAGATCAATTACTCTCTTGAGGTCCGACCCTGGCAAAGATATTCAACCAGCAATGCACACCCTCTCCAGTCTCATGTTTCAAGATTTTAGAAGAGGGGGGACGGACAAACACATTAAATACAGTAGGAACATCGTATCTGCGAGATCAATCGTGGTTTCACTTATCCGCCTGCTGAAAATTTTAAATAAACCCCTCCAGAAATACACATTACCAGAACGGACCACCAGAGGGAACCAGAGTCTATGCTACCCTGTTTCCCTGAAAATAAGACCTAACCTGAAAATAAGCCTTTGTAGGATTTTTCAGGATGCTCGTAATATAAACCCTTCCCCCAAAATAAGCCCCAGTTAAGTGAAACCCTGCCCTCCACCATTGTGCAGCATTGTGCAGCAACCAGAAGATGATGACAGGACTGTAAAATAAAACATCCCCTGAAAATTACCCCTAATAGGGTTTTTTTGGAGCAAAAATTAATGTAAGACCCTGTCTTATTTTTGGGAAAACACGGTATATAGTCTGGAGGTTGGTTCGCAAGAGGGCTTGAGGGTGAGAAGATGAGAAATACTGAAAGGTTGTTGGGTTGGACTAGAGTTTGGGCTATCCGTACTCTACTTTCCAGGGTCAGAGAGTCCAAGTTTTAAAAAAGAAATGTGCCAGTGGTTTGGAGCTGAACTCACCCGGTCTGCTCTGCTCCACGTCGGGGGTCCCTGGCTCTCCCATTGGGTCCTGGATGCCGTCACGAGCCACTGGCAGCCAGTGAGGAGCCTCGTCCAGGTCTCGCTCTGCCTGCTCCTGGCGAGCACCTTTTCCTGCCAATTCCTCATCGCGAGACTAGAAGATATTGGATAATGTCACATACTCGTTTCATGCCATGGGAAGATCAGCTGGGAAAGGGAGCTATCAGGTTTTATCTGCTCAGTCAGCCCCTTCTCTATCTTTCTGAGGGCCAGGATAGTGGGAAAGCTCTCCTTCGACAGCACATGTCAATGACATTGTTTCCCCCTCCCCACCCGCCAGCTTTCTTTACTCTATGGGCTGTCCCATTCATACGTGATAATTGAGAAGACAAGGACTTGGAGGATCTGGGTCTCCAGCCATACATTGAACCGATGCATGTAAAACTTTTAAAGAGTTTTAATTTCTTCACTGTCAGCATTCGTGTAACTTCCTTGCCGTCACGATTTTTTGCCCTCTTAATGTTCAACGGCAGCCCCGGTTCTAAACTCTCTTCTTTCTTCGAACGGCAGCCTCTTGTCCAGAGTGCAGGTTGCTCATCATAACCATCAAATCCTGGGGCACAGCCGCTCCTTTTAGATTTTTTTTTTTTTGACTTCTGAATATTCTACCATAACCCTCTGTTTGTGCTTTCGTCTCTAATCTCCTTTTTCAGTCAGTTCAAATTACGGCTGTTTTGTGCCAGAAATATGGAGACCTGGCCCCTTTCCGTAGGGCTGAAGAAGACCCCTTTCAGCGACCCCCGGGAATACGTGAGTGCAGGCCACATCGCTCCAGGCAGGTGATGAATCTGACTCAGGGTAAGGCACCTGCCAAGGCTTATGAGACAAGAAACGATGCCTAAAGACTCCTGGGTCCCACAAAGACACCACGGGCTGAACCCACTGTTCATTCTGACTCCGCATTAGAATCTGCTTTGACCGAGGGCTCGTCAGGCCTCGTCTTTACTGATCCTCAAGAAGATTAACCAGTTTCTGTTGGCCTTCCCATCAGTCTTTGGTTGCTAGTTTAATTTTAATTCTATGGCCCTCCTGGTCAACCTTGTTTACATATTTACTTGCTTTTTAAAATTCTGTACGCTCCTTGCTTTTTAAGCTTGCATTCATTTGTTCAAACTTAAACCTCACTTTCCTTCAGGGTGGGACATGAAGGCAAGACAAAGGAAAGGAAGGGAAAGAAAAGAAAATATATAAAAAGCCTTCCAAAGGAATCCATGACTGTGTACCTGCAGGCGAGCAGCACAAAAGTGTCCCAGACAGCAGGGGGAACCCAGCTTCTGCTCCAGCGCCTCGATCTTTCCCAGCAGCCTGCTTCTTTCGACCAGCAAATAAGCCACCTGCTCGCTGTGGCTGCTGCAGGCGATGCTCAGCAAGCCTTCTTGCGCCAGCATCTCTCCGCTGGGATTCTGGGGGGCAGGGAGAGAGGGAGGTGGTGGGTCCCATCAACGCACACACACACCTTCTTCAGACAAGCAAGTCTCCTTGGCAAAGCAGAGTTGCGAGGTTCACCCTCGTCAATATAACAGAGTGGTTAAAAGATACTCAACAGGGCTTCCCGGGGAGGTGCAGGTGGTTAAAAAAAAACACACACCCAAACTCAGTAGGATCATGTAGGGGTTTTTTTAGGCAATGCCCAGAAATGGAAGCAACAAAAGCCCTCGGCCGGCCGTGGCAGAAGGCGTGAGGAACAGAAATGGCCTATGCTCGTTCACACTCTTACGGGTGACAGACTTAAGGAGGCCAAAACCTCCATCAGAGTTTTGTCGCTTTTCTCCAATCTGCTTCTCCATTTTCTTTCCAACCTTTTTTTAATCAGGCAGATCAAACCAGCCCAGTTCCAGTGACTCAATACTGATCCATCAGGGAAGATGTTGCATCATCAGGCAAATATGCCGAGGAGTTTTTTTTTTCTCTCCATATGCAGAGACTCGTGCACAATATTTTTTTTACAAATTTCCCTCAAAGTTCATACATTTTCTGGCCTTAACTTCAGTAGCTCTGTGGGGATTTTTTTTCTTTAGCTCTCTGCTGGTTGGACTGTCTGCACCCTTGATTTCTCTGAAATGTCCTGTAAGGTCTGCAATGCATACATTCTCAAGACAAGGAGTTTCCCTTCTCCCAGGAAGGCACGCGGGGTGCAAAAAGGCTCTGTTTATCAAGAGGGGGGGGATCCCGAAACCCTGTCTGACCCGACTTCTGTTTCTCTCAGCCTCTCCACCAGAAACGCGGACTAAGGACCCTCTTTGCTGAATCTGTTTCAGTGGGAACAGCCCTTCAGCAGAGGAAGGCGAGCCCCCAGAGATCTGGGATCTACTGTAACAGGAAACTATTCAGTTCATTTTGTTTTTTCTACTTCATTCATAGTTATTCTTTCCAAAGAGCTCTCCCTGGGGGTGCATTTTATCCTCACGGCAAACCTGAGAAGTAGGTAAAGCTTGGGAAAGTTATGGTTTTGGACGAACTCCACAAATCCTCCAACAAGCTAGTTTGCCAATTTCACTTTCACTCTCCTAATATAACAGCAGGACTCCAGTATTTGCAGAATAAATACTACTTCATTAGCCATGCTCTAAAAATATTTAAAATATTAGAAGAAAAATCTGGCCACTAGAGGGAGCCAGGGCTCATACTACCCAGGTTCCCCGAAAATACAGTGGGGTCTTGACTTGAGAACTTAACCCGTATTGGAAGGCGGTTCTCAAGTCAAAAAGTTCTCAAGTCAAATCTGCATTTCCCATAGGAATACATTGAAAACCATTTGATCCGTATCTGCTCTTTTCCGTCCATAGAAACTAATGGGAAGCTGCTATTCCACCTTCAACCACTAGAGGGGGATATTTTGTTTCTTTTTTTTCTTAGGTCAAGAAAGGTTCAGGGAAGGCAGGGAAAATACAGTCCAGGCAGTACCAGGCAGTCCGAAGACTGTCTCCCAGTCCACTCTCTAAATGCTGGGAGGAGTGAGGAAGCAGACAGGCACCCTTTTCACTGGCCAACAGTTAACTGAAAGTTCAAATTTTGCACTTTCCCTGCCTCCCACGTTGTTTTTTTTCAGTTCTTAACTCAAATCTAAGTATGTAAGTCAAGTCAATATTTTCCTATGAGAGCGGTTCTTAAGTCAAAATGTTAACTCAAGCCGTTCTTAAGTCAAGACCCCACTGTAAGTCCTACCCTGAAAATAAGCCCTAGTATGATTTTTCAGGATGCTTGTAATATAAGCCCAACCCCAAAAATAAGCGCCAGTTAAGTGAAATCCCGCCCTCCATCATCCAGAAGATGACATGACTATATTTGAATAAATGTACAATTTAAAAAATTCCCTTGAAAAAAGCCCTAGTGCATTTTTTTAGCAAAAATTAATATAAAACCCTGTCTTATTTTCTGGGAAAGACGATATATATAACGTTCACTATTAAAAATAGCATTCGCCGTTTCAGCAGAGTAATTTAGGGCAAAAGACAAATAATTTCATGGTTGCATCTTGTTTCGGGCAGTGAAACCCTTCAGCAAATCACCCGGCAGATGCTGAGAGTTTGTCTGGCTGAGATACAAAGAAGCCAGCTTTGCCTTCAAGAACCCTTAAGCTTTGATCCTCATATGTTTTAAGACACTGCTTTAGGAAGCTTTAAAGGATCATAGAAAGATAGAGTTGGAAAGGGCCCCCTTGAGGTCATGGGTTCCATTGTTGTATTGCTCTAACAGTTAGGAAGTTTTTCCTGATACTGTATTCAACCGAAATCTGGCATCCTGTACCTTGAGCCCATGATGATGAGTCCGTCCTGCACTCTAGAACAGATCCTGCCTCTCCTTTGTAGGACAGCCTTTCAAATATTTAAAAAAATGCTCTCCTCTGAGTCTTCTTTTCTCTAGGCTAAACTTTTCTCAAGTTCTTTCAGTCTTTCCTCCTCATAGGGCTTGGTTTCCAGCTGGTCATTCCCATTGCTCTCCTGTGAACTTGTTCCAGTTCTTAAAGGAGTATTATATTTCTGGTGTTTCCTTCATTGCATTCTTTTTGATGCAAACCCTTTCTCTTGGCTGACCTTCCCGGGGTTTATGTTTGTGTGTGCGTGTCTGCGTGCGTGCGCATATTAACTGTGAGGTGGAGCCCAAGCCACCCAAATTCCCACGCATGCGTGCACGGAAGCTTTAAGCACCACTGTGACCACAAAAGAAATCGGCTTTTTTCTGGTTTCCAAATTGTGTCTGTCTTGACATGCAAAGGGCTTCTATCTCTTCTGGAAATCTGTTGGTCTGCGCAGCTAGCATTCTGGGCTGGGCTGGGGCCGTTTGAAAACAGAAGGCTCTATCCCTTGAAGTCATCTCATATCCCAAGCATTACAGGGAACGTGGGGCAAACTGTCTCCAGGAAGGGGGGGGGATGACAAAACAGCTGCCTGACGTATCACTGTGGGAGGCAGGATCCTGGACTTAGAGGGCCTTTCTATCTGATCCAGAAGGACCAAGGCAGCCACCGAGGCAGGAAGGTCACCAATCTGATAAGGCTGTATTTTTTCCCCTCCTGTTACTGACAAAGGCCAAATGGCAGACAAAATGTACCAGGCTGTACCCTTCACGCATCCTTTGTTCAAAAGCAGGACTAGTGGCTTACGCAGCGAGCTCCCTCGGTCACAGCAGGGGAAGAACGCCTTTGCCATGATTATGATGCTGCCAACGGGCAGTGGCTTTTCTTCAGGGGAAATGATTCCCTGCATACTTAAGCCCCACAAGCCAAGATCTGGCCGCCACCTGTCCCGGCAGCCAACAGCTGGGAAAGGATGTGAATCATGGCTTCGGACAGGAATCCTTGTCATCAAGAGATATGAGAAAAGTCACACCCCTGCTGTTCCTATTGTCTTCACACCTCCCTTTGAAGGCTTGGGGGGGGGGACAACAAGCCCCAAAGGATTCCTACGACAAGCCCCTTCGAAGCACGCAGGCCAGCCAACTGTGGCATTCGTTCCTGGACAAACCCCTTCCCCTCCAAAGGGGGGTGTGCATAGGAAAAGCTCCCTGCGAGCTGTACTCGGCGAGTCTCTTCCTTCGATTGACAGCACGTCTGAGACAACCGGATGCAAATTCCAACACAAAACCCAGAAAGAAACTGGGAGGGTGGGTGGAACGGGCTCTCCTTATCCTCTTTCAAATTTTAAGTAGGCAGATCCTTCTTGTGGTTTCGGTGTGCAATGGTTTCGTCTTCAGCATAAATAACACACTGATTCTAAATTGGGCCTTTGCTAATCAAGCTTCTGTTATCTGCAAGGGTTGGGATGTTCTAATTATTGGTTTCCTTTTTTTTTATAAATGGTCAGATAACAGGGTTTCACAACAAGGAAGACAATGGGAAAAGTAGAAGTCATTCAGGCACCTCCCTCGGGTAACAGGGAAAAAACTTATAGAGGTGCAATTTAGAGCTAACTCCCAAGGCACCTACAACTATTGCACAGATATGCAACACATACTTCCTAAAGTGCAACAGATCATCCACAAAACTCTTCTTACAAAATAACATCTAGACAACAATTAAAAACAGAAATAAACAATAAAAACTTGTGGCATCTTCAGGACTGTTGTATTTCAGTTAAGGCTTTCGGGGATAATCTTAGAACTCCAGAGCTGGGACAGCCTCTGGATCCTCGAGTTCAGCCCCTTTCAAGAAGGCGCAGTGGGGAATTCGAACTCCCAACCTCTGGTTTCACAGCCGGATGCAGTGGTTCTTAACCTTTGTTACTCGGATGTTTTTGAACTGCAACTCCCAGAAACCCCAGCCAGCACAGTTGGTGGTCAAGGCTTCTGGGAGTTGCAGTCCAAAACTCCTGAGTAACCCAAGGTTAAGAACCAGTGCGACTGAGCTATCCAGGAACTCTCTTCTCTATTCACTTTTTCAGACAAACTTTAAAAAGGCCTTTAAGAGAAAACTGGACAGCCGTCTGCCAGATCTGCTTTGATTTGGATTCCTACCTTGAGCAGGAACTTGATGGCCTTCCAGCTCAAGAATTCTAGGAGTCTATGAAAGAAAGAATAAACAGAAGTTCCAGCATTTCTCTCCCCAGAACTAAAGAACAGAGTCTTGAACGTAGGAGGTTTTCCTTGCTCCAGAACATGGAGAAGTTACTTTTCTGAATAGCAGCTCCTCAGGCCAGCCTGTGACTCCTGATTCTGTGGCCAGGGTGACTGGAGGATTCTGGGTGTTTTCATTTAAAGAGAAACTTTTCTAAAAGTTCTACCTTTTGGTCCCAACCCATACAATGACCTGGGCCAGGGAGGTGGGCGCTAACCTCGTCTTTTCAGTGTGAAGGATCCTCCAGATGTGGAAACTCAAGAGCTTGGGCAAAAGCAGCTGATAAGGACAATGTCACAATCCACGGGCTGTAGGGGCCCAAGATCTGCCAGTATTGAACGTTCCCCAGGAGAAAGGCAAGCAGGAGAGGTCACTAAATGGTTCTCCCCAACAAAGCTATCTAAAAACCGTACCTAAGGAAGTTCCCACGAAAGAGCAAGGGAACAGGCAAGGCCTTGCATGGAACCCAAATAAGTGGGAGGGCAGCCACCACAGGTGAGATATATACGGCATGCTCATTCTGGCATACACCCATTTTTTAAAAAAAACAGTGCCCCATATTGGGGCAATCCATGCGTCCAAGACGTAGCTGGCTGTTCTCATAACTGCCTTCCTCGAGTATCTGACAAGCTCGGGGGAGTTTGAAGGACATTCCACCATCGTTTGTCCATCAGACTCTGATAGAGATCTCATCAGATTTTTAACACACCCCTGAGGAAAGCATCAGAGTTTACGCAGGGCCAAAATGATATCATCAAGCAGCTTCTTTAAAACGCCTTTGGGTGTTAGGGTCAGGAAAGCAATTCCTTCAACAAGAAACGGACGCACATCAGCACTTGATTGTCCTCGTGCAAAACCTGTATTGTGGGCAAGATACTGTTAAGAGAGAATACAGAGACAGAATGTTTTCCTATAAGACAAGGGTGTGTTTTATTTCTTTATATGTTCAATCTCTATGCAGAGCGTATCATAAAGAAAGCCAGATGAGATTCAGATTAAGGAGTGAAAACTGATGGAAGAAACACCAATCATTTAAGATAAATTTAAGATTAAACACTAAATTAAATTTAACCTGCATTGTCAGACAAGAACCTACTGTTAGGACAGAATATGGAGAAAGAGAATGGTTTCATCCAAGCAAAAACGCCAGACAAGGGTACATGCTTACCTTCTGAACTGTGGCCAAATGCGCTCAGAACATGCATGAGGGGACTCAGCAGTGGTCATGTCCTTCTGTAAATTCAGAGTCAAGCCACCAACAGAAACTACTTCCGTTCTTCTGGCAAATGTCATGTATCCTATATGCAGGAAAACGTCCCCAGTAGGACGTGATGACACTGCGGGTTAAACCACAGAAGCCTGTATGCTACAAGGTCAGAAGACCAGCCGTTGCAAGATCGAATCCATGCAACGGAGTGAGCTCCTGTCGCTTGTCCCAGCTCCTACCAACCTAGCAGTTCCAAAGCGTGTTAAAATGCGAGTAGATAAATAGGTATCATCTCGGTGGGAAGGTAACAGCGTTCTGTGTCTAGTCACGCTGGCCATATGACCATGGAAACTGTCTACGGAGAAACGCTGGCTCTACCGTTTGGAGGCGGGGATAAGCACCACCCCCTAGAGTCGGACATGACTGGACTAAATGTCAAGGGGAACCTTTACCTATCCTGGAAAACAGGGCAACAGCCTCATGAGTCAACAGTGACGTCTGTGCCATATCGGCTCAGTGGATCTCAAAGACAGATATCATGAGGATGAATTTCCATCAAGAGAAACTACAATTTTTTCTTCTATCCCACGATCATGTTTTAACACAAATCCAGCAATCCCTTCAATTAATGCTAATTTTCATAGACATAACATGATTTCCATTGACTGCCAGCAAGCCAATTTGAGAGCACCTCCCTGCATCAAGCTTAGCATGCAAAGATACCCATTTTGGCCCATGTGAACAAAACCAATAACCGCATGCGGACAATCACTCTTTATTCCAAGCAATCTAAACCCCGCTTTTGGCCCAAATAAAATGTCTTCTCCATCAGAGTTGTTCCATTGTCTTGCGTACGAGGATTTTGTTTTACAGGCAACGAAAGCGACGTTACAGCATTCTCTGTGACAAAGAGGGACTGATTTCCTGAGGCCATGGAAAGATATTAGAAACTTGACTTAAGGCATTCCATTTTAGATCTCCTAACAACAAAATGATTTAGGGAAAACTCTGTTCAGTAGAAGGCAAGACACACATAACATGGTAATGATTTGAATACAACAACTCAAAAAAAAAAAAAAACCCTGGCTAGGAGACTGCATATAGTAAGACAAGCTACGAGGTTGGAATGTTTCTGTTATTTATATACATATATATTTTCTCCAGTAAGCAGCCACTGTGTACAAAAAAGTCATGTAGTGTCACAGTTTTACTTTTTATCCCATACAACCCTGTAGTTGAGTCATCCCTGATTATCAAATAACAGGAGTCTTGTAAGTCCACCACCACCACCACCAAACCGTTTTTAGTTATGATTTAAAGATTCAGACAATTCACTTTTAAGTAGAGGATCCCTGCTGTATGAAATCTCTGTGCCGAGACTCCAGGTGGCTCACGATCTTCTCCTCAATTTCCAGGCCCTGAGCAATTTCATCTTCCGAAAGCGACAGCCGGGTCTCCAGATCCCGGGTCACCACAATCACAGAGGTTCTCCGGGACTCCAGCAGGTTGGCAATGACCACCTGGTGGCGGTATTTCTCCAAGGCCCGCCGGGACTTCTCAATTAAGATGTCCGGGTTGGTTTCCAGCTTGAACGAGATCACAAATGCTTCGGGGGCCCATTCTTTCACCAGAGGGGAAAGCATTTTTGGTACCATCTTCATGGTGATCTGCATCAAGGGCGAGAAACACCTACTTCAGCAGAACGTACAAATATCTTCAAAAGTGACGCTCAAGAGGAGAACAGGACAACACCTCCACTGGAAGGTAGATCTCCACTAAAATGTCTCTCCACCCCAAGCTGCCTAAGGCTTTTGGCACAGCCCCAGTTCCCCAGTACAAAAGCCTCAGTTCATGTGTCAATGAAATAAACGCCGCCATTTCCATCTCCTTCCCTTTCTCTCTTTCACTTCCAATTTTAGATTTCAGTTCAGGGACTTTTCCTTTTCGCTATGAGCACCGTGACCTTGGAGAGCACTTTGTTAATAAAGTAGAGCTATCCACAGACATTTTCTCACTGTACACACCTCTGTGGTAGGTGCCAGCCTTACTGTAAGTCAGGAAAAACCAGTAGGAAAGCGGATATACCTGTTCTGGCAACGAAATACTGTACCAGACACTGCACACACCAAAAACACAAGGGAAACACCTCTTTCAATGTTTTTAGAATGTGGATCCACACTTAAATCTCCAAACAAGCACATTTTCTGCTGCTGCCAAAACCTCCAAAAACCCCAAACTAAAAAGGGTATTGTGTGAAGAATTCTTCCCTTATGTTGCCCTCTAAAAGAAGGCATGCTTCCCATTACCCTGGCCAAATTTCAACTAGAATTGAGCCACTGGATAAACCAAACTTAGAAAAATTGAATTAAATCAATTATACAGGCCCTTATTTCAGGAGGGAGAAATTATTCCCCTCCAGTTGTTCCAGTTTTCCTCCAGAGGAAATGGTTCATCCTTGTAAATCCTGGACTTTGGATTCTCCCAAGCTCCTGCTACTCTTGCAGGTGGTTTAAGCATAGCTCCTTCCTTCCAGTTTTTGGTTATGAATGGTCAAACCTACGTGGCATCTCCTTGCGGGGTTATGGACTGTCCCAATGCTGGACTCCCCCCCCCCACTGCATTTCACATACACGTGTCCGTCTCCTGTGGTTATGCCCTGTCCATCTGAAGAAGCTACCATTGGCAAAAGCATCTGCCAAATAAGATCTGTCACAAAATGTTTTGTTCTCTTAAGAAAACAACAGGAAAACTGGCAAGAATTCTGTGAGCGCCGAAGAAGGAGCAGGAGCAAAGTGAGAAGCATGAGCTACAGTCCACCGTTTTGGTGCTCTATGACAGGTTTACTGGACCAAAAGCCCTTTCTGGACAAAGGTCCCAGGAGCTGCTGGCCTCACCTGCAGAGGTCCATCGGTCGACTGGATCTTATGTTCGGGCATCTCGGAAGGAGGGATGTAAAAGTCAGATACAGCGGCTGCCAAATAGAACATGGCACTGGAACCTGCAAGGAGGGGAGAGAGATGGGAAAGAAGTTCCTATGAGTTCTTATGACATAGTCAGGCAAACAGTAAATCTAGACCTGCACAAAGCCACCTTCTTCATTAAAGCCACCTAATTTCATTACAGTTTTTATTGTGTGCTGCCAGGTGGCTTCAGAGATACGTCAAACTGACTGATGAATTGCCTTGGTTGGGGGCGGGCTCCTCAAAACTGGAGGCATTCCAAAGACAGCTTGATCGCCATCTCTCTGGTATACTTCACCCTGGATTCTTGTGCCAAATAAGAGCTCCATTTGGTGGCCTTTAGGCCCCTCCCAATCCCATTATTCATCACAGATGACTTCCAAAAGTTCCTACCAGTTCTTGCAAAACAAACCTTGTGGCAGCCTTCATGGAGCCAAACCATCTCAAATTAGATTCTCTTTTCCTATTGCCTTCAGATTTTCCTAATGTTATTTTTTATTCCAGTAAATCTTGTCTTCTCGTTATCGCCTTCAAGCAATACTAAACCTCCTTAAATTTGTTTAGCCTGGAAACAGCTTCTGAATACTTTGTACTGAGCCATATACAGAAGCGGTTAAACTGCAACTCTACTCACAACCAGGTTTCAAGACCAAACAGCCAGCTTGAGGTTTAATTCAGCCTTCCATCATCCAAAATCAGTAAACTGAGTACCCAGCTTGCTGGGGCAGGGGCAAAGTCTAGCCTGCATCATTAAATTGTATACCACCCAGGGAGTGCTTGAAGCACTATGGGGCTGTGTATAAGCAGCAGCACACGCACCCCTAAACCCAACTGTTAATCTCAAATAGAAAAAAAGCCCATGGAAATCAATGAAACTTCTCCCATCCATCAGCCCTCCCCTCGACCCAGCCCGGCGTGGATGCAGGGGGTGTGTGTGATGGTGGGGGAGCACCCTTCTTTCCTTCCTTCCGTCCTTTCCCCCCACCCTCCCGCTCACCCAAGGGGGCGAGGGCCCGGGCGGCGGCCCGCAGCAGCGCCAGGTACTCGGCCAGGCCGGTGAACTCGAGGGCCAGGAGGGCCTCTTGGTCCTGGGCGCGCCGGTAGGCCAGCAGGGCGGGGACGAGGGCGGTGTGTGTGATGGTGGGGGAGCACCCTTCTTTCCTTCCTTCCGTCCTTTCCCCCCACCCTCCCGCTCACCCAAGGGGGCGAGGGCCCGGGCGGCGGCCCGCAGCAGCGCCAGGTACTCGGCCAGGCCGGTGAACTCGAGGGCCAGGAGGGCCTCTTGGTCCTGGGCGCGCCGGTAGGCCAGCAGGGCGGGGACGAGGGCAGGGC